TGGGCATCTGCTCTACCTGGTTTTGAGTTCTCTTGTCAAATTCACAGGCTATCTTTGGGATTTTCTCAGCTGGTGTTCTCCTCCTGTAAAATGTGAGTTAATTGACTGCCTTGTACTTTTTTAGAGCTTGATGCTATAGTCTGTGAGCTGTAGTAAGCGAGAGTAGTTTGTCATCGGGGCCTGAGACCCCTGCCTGCCGCTCACAGGATGCTATGACTGACTGTGCCGTTACAGCCACACAACGCCTGGCTCTGACCTACTTTAAAAAATTGATCACAGAACCACAAAGCCTCCTCTGACTCCGTCCCAGTTGGACTGCGCTGTACCAGCTGGATGATCAAACACAGCGGAAGAAAGAACTTATATACTGTTAAAACAGCTATGCAGAAGAAGGAATTTACACTTGCACCTGCTGGGATTCCCTTTCGTACACCCCCGTTTAAGGCTCTAGGGTCCAGTATATTTTGCACTAAGTAATCCTACCAGTGATCAAGGGGACTTCTTCCCGAGCCGCGTGCTTTAGTTACTGGGCACACATTATCAAATATTGGCCCATAATATGCAAGTAAAGCACAGTGTTAGAGGCCTCACATTCATATCCTAGAACCACAGAGTTGGAAGGGACCTTCAGGGTCATCTAGTCCAACCCCCCTGCAGAATGCAGGAAACTCACAAATATGTTCCCCCCCACACAGAGACCCACAGTGACCCCTGCGGTATGCCCAGAAGAGGGAGGGGAACCCTCCAGGATCCCTGGCCAAAAGAAAACTGCTTCCTGACCCCAAAGTGGCGATCAGCATTTCCCTGGACCAGTGTTCCCTCTAAGCTGAGTCAGTGTGAGCTAGCTCACAGTTTTTTAGCCTCCAGCTCACACATTTTTGTCTTCGCTCAGGAAGGAGGGCTACAGAACGAACTGATTTATGCAGCAGCCAAATCTCTCGCTCACAACTTTAATGCCAGGAGCTCACCAAGTAGAATTTTTTGCTCACAAGACTCCACAGCTTAGAGGGAGCATTGCCCTGGACATGTAAGAAAGGGCCACAAGAACTAAGCACTGATGCAACCCTCCCTCTCATTATCTGTCTAAGTGCACAGATATTGCATTACAATCCCCTTTTGCTTTTCTCTCCTCCTCACCCCCAACTTCGAAAGGAGGTGATTTAGAGTACAGGACAGAGTCCTGAAATACTCCCCAACTTTTATTCCAAAGGCCTACAGCTGTAAATTAACGGAATGCCTCATAGGTCTCGCTTTGCTTATCAATTTAAAAGGATTTTTAAAAAAACAGGCCCTGGAAACTCTCTCAGTGGAATATGTTCCGCCATATGCCACCGTAGCGTGCTCCAAGACAGTCTTACTCATTCCTTTCCTCCACCAGAATTTTTTATCAGCATCTAACAAAGGGAGCCTCGGTTCTCGAAAGCTTCTTCCCTGAAAATCTTGTTGGGACTTTAAGGGGCTCCTGGACTCAAAGCCAGCTGTTCTGTTGCAGTCCAGCACGGCTATGCCTCGGAGCAAAATTGTCTCAAATGAAAAAAAAAAAAATCACTTCGTTTTGGTAGGATGGTCTCAGGTAAAAATTTCAGGTGAGTAGAAGAAGTGATCCAAACGCGTTTTTCACAAAAGCATTTCTAACTTTAATGACAGTCAGGAAAAGTTTGCCTTCACTCAGTGTAAACACAGATAATGAATGTCCTCCAGGAATTACCTTTCCTTCACCAGGCTGTTGTTCCGTAACTCCTCATGCTCTGCCACTGTCTTCTCCTGGTCCTTTTAACAGCAGCAGCCACTGGTCGAATGGGGGGACACAGATACCCTCCTGACTGGGGGCTGAGACACGGCAGAGGAGAGACCATGGGGATAAGCAGTGGGCAGGGAGGAAGACACCACATACACACACAGGCAACGTTTCTCCAGTCCAGACGGCTTGCGCCGGTCTGCAGCAAAGAGACACGCAAACTCGCACAACAGTGTGCACAGTATGTAGTCAAGGCCTTAGCCACATCAAACCTCCTTAAGTTATCCATACGGAGCACTAAGATATAAAAACCATGAGCTTTAGATGGAGGCCACAGTGGCTGAAGTAGAAGAAACCCGAAGGCTCACTTGAGTCACTTTTTGCTAAGGGCTCCCATTCCAAGGGTTCCCAGCCTACATATCTTTCAAAAAGCTTTAGATGGAGGCACACAGTGGCTGAAGTAGAAGAAACCTGAAGGCTCACTTGAGTCACTTTTTGTTAAGGGCTCCTATTCCAAGGGTTCCCAGCCTACATATCTTTAGCCACCAAATTCTCCCCAAAAACAAGACGTGATTCAGCCATCCTCTGGACCCAGCCATCGAAAGAGCCAGAGAAGTGAAGTGATTTATTCATTTTCTTCATTGAGAGCCAGTTTGAGCTCAGATTAGGGTCTGGGAGACTCCGTTTTGAATTCCTACTCTGCCATGAAAGCTCACTAGGTGACATTGTGGCCTGTCACACTCTCAACCTAACCTACCTCATAGGGTTGTTGTGAGGAGAAAATGGAGAGAGGATGCAACCTACTTTGGGTCCTCCACTGAGGAGAAAAACAGGGTATAAATTACGTAAGATAACAAGGAATACCTCCTCAAACAGAAGCACCCCCCTCCACTTTTAAGTGCTAAAACTGAAGAAATCCGCCCAACTCTTTCTTCGAACTGTTCCCCCTTCAAAACGTGTATTTTCTGTGAAGTCCACAACGAAGCCCAAGCACATAACTGCATTTGCTTACAAGTCTCTTGTCCCCACAACTCTTGTCTCCTAGGCTGTCAAACTTCTCTGCACAGGGTTGTTGTTTATGAACTTGAGAAGGGTAACTATGCTAATGTGTTGCAGCAAAACTAAATGGGAGAGCAAGTGTGGTGTAGCGGTTCGGAGTGTCAGACTAGTATCTGGGATACTTGGGTTTGAATCCCCACTCAGACCATGGAAGCTCGCTGGGTGACCTTGGGCCAGTCACATTCTCTCAGCCTAACCCACCTCACAGGGGTTGTTGTGAGGATAAAAGGGAGGAGAGGAGAAGGATGTAAGCCGCTTTGGGTCCCCGTTGGGGAGAAAGGTGGGGTACAGATGAATTAAATAAACAAAAATAGGAGTCTTGTGGCCCCTTACAGAACATTTAACTTCAGCATCTGCATTTGTCTATTAGATTCTTGGGCTCTAGCCCATAAAAGCATTGAACTCTAGGACACAGAGGCATGCACCAAAATAAAACTGGCTTTGTCTTGCTATCTGAGCCAATGTGTTGCAGTGGACAGAGTGGTGGACCAGGGCCTGGGTTCAAATCTTGACTTCAACCATGGAAGCTCACGGGGTGACCTTCGGCCCATCACACTCTCTGCCTGTCCTATCAGAAGAGTTGGTTCTATGCCCTGCTCTGCACTACCCGAAGGCCTGTGATTGCCTTCCCTTCCTCTCCCCACAACAGACACCCTATGAGGTAGGTGGGGCAGAGAGAGCTCTGAGAGAACTGTGACTGACCCAAGGTCACCCCAGCTGGCTTCATGTGGACAAGGATTAAAACCACGTTCTCCAGATTAGTGTCCACCGCTCTTAACCACTACACCAAGCTGGCTCTCCTACTTCACTAGGTTGTTGTTGTGAGAAAATGGAGGAGGGGAAAATAATTTTATGAGCAGCTTTAAATCCCAACTGGGGAGAAAAGCAGGTTATAAGTAGATGCAAATGCTACTTTAAAGACTCCTGATTATTTTTCAGAGTTGTTACTTTGTCAAGCACTATGTCAACCCAGGGCTGTGGTTTAGCAGCAGTATCTGGTTAAGATTCTTAACAAGCGACAGAGCAACGTCACGCAAATACATGAAGTTGCCTTACATAGTCATACTCCCGATGTATTAAGGTCAGCAGCACTTACTCTGACAGGCCAGGATCGCAGGCACAGAGGTCTTCCCCATCACCTGCTACCTGAGCCTTTTAACTGGGGGCGTCAGGGACTGAACCTGGGACCTTCTGCACGCAAAGCAGACGCTCTGCCATTGAGCCACACTCCCAACCCCTGACATCATAACCAACACAGCGCACCCTAGGTTTGTAAGCACAAAACTTGCCTATTTCAAAAGGTGCACGCTGGCCCCAAAGGAATTTCCCCTCATCTGTGCCCCAAGAAGATGCTCAGCTCCAGATGGAATACGTTGTTCATTCACAACGTGGTCCTTCCCCACACCTGCTGCCGCTCAGGGGCCCAGTGCTGGATGGGAAGTGGGGGGGGGGCCTAGCCCCAAGATGCCCCACTGTAGGTAGGGGCCTAGGAGTGGGTGATGCACTGGACATGGGAGGGCTCCCAGCTCATCCCACCCACTAGAAAGAGCAGCAGTCACGCTCTTCTCCAGCCACCAGACTAAGAAACTGCAGAAGCCGGGATGAGGACAGCATCAAAATATTTAATACGTGTCACACACGTAAAGTTACATTTTCATACAAAAATCCCCCCCACAAACAACAAATGGGAGAAAGAATACTGTACAAACCCCTCCACAAAGACCCTCTTCTCCCAAGAGCCTTTATACAACAAAGGCCGGGAGTTCTCAAAAGCCCCGGGGGAACTTTGAATCATCGGACGCGTAACCAGTTTAAATCACAAAAGCCCACCGTGACAGCGCCGTTCTCGAGTCAACCTCGTGGTTTCGGGTCGTCTCCCTCCCTCCCTCCCCCCCAAATGCAAGTCTCAAGGGATGCCCATCCTTTGACGTGTGTTGCCCGCTCGCCGGGGGGAACGCGCTCGGCTTGGCCTGAGCACAGCAAGGGCACAACCTTCGCGACGGCTTTCGCCACGGAATGTTCGCGGGGGGGGGGGGGTAAAAGGGGCGACCCCAGGG